GGACACCCGGCTTCGTGACACGATTGGTGGACGGTGCCTGTGAAGGTGGCCAAGGGTGACAGTTAATTACACCCGTTGGAGCAAACTTGATTCAGACAACTTTGATCCGCAAGCTTTGTGCGAGCAGCGTCCGGATACGGGCATGAAGCTTTACTCCTACTCCTACTCAGACACGTACTGGACCCTCAAGCAATACTTATTGCTTATCGTGGGGACTCGGAGGTTGAGGTCCCCGTAATAAACACATGGCTCATTCCTTCCCCTTGTGTGTGATGTGTTCACGGCTGACCGGGTGATTTATGAATCCCAGTTGCTATCATGCTGACGATGGGAGGAAGGAGTGAAACGAACCTTGCCGTTCCTGCATATTTCTTTTTGCAACCTACAGCATTGAGGTAAGCTTGTTGTCTTCGTGCTGGTAGACAAAAGCCATGAGTTTCACTTCGGATCTGTCGTTCTTCCTTATTCTGCTTGTGTGCAGGTTTGACATGATGGCATCTTTGAGTTTTTTGGTGGATGGATGGCCGCACAACTGTGCTCGTGGTGAGCTTCGTGTTCCCACTCGAGGGTCGGCTCTCTGCGGGATTCAGCATTGCCTCATGGCAGCGTTGCCTTGATGGTGAGAGCAAGCCAAGAATTGGGATGTAGTCCTTCGCTTCCGCCGGCCTTGGGCCACATGAGCCTCGCTGCGAACCATGCACCAACCTCGCTTGTGTTACCGAGTCGCGAATGTTTAAAACCCTAAACCCTAAACCCCGGATTTCAGCCCATTAACCTCGAGCCGCGTTAATAGCAGGACCTGAGTCTCATTCCTGCGCCGTCCGCCCTCTAAATCCTAAATCCCAACCCTAAACTTTGCCATAGTGGGGCAACATTTCACATTTTCATAGGTACTTAAACTCCAGGAACATGTAAATATTAATACGATCCCAAGCATGAACTGGTAAACTAAACCCCAAGCCCTAAAACCCTAAGCTCCCATCCTTGAATCCTAGACCTTACAGCATCTGGCTTCAGTTTCCTCTAGACGTTGTCCGACGGATGACATGCATAGATTGTGAAAGCTACTATAGAAGCCTGAAGTATGCCCGATATGAATTTCTCAGGATTTCTTTATACCTTTCTACCATACTATACCGCAAGGCCATATAAATTCGGCTCAGGCCCCTATATTTCAGAAGGCCACCCTGCGCCGGAACCTTGCCCAGGCACTAAGTCCGACACCCCGCTAATATAGGGGTCAGAACAAGTACTACAATTATTGGTATGCGTTCCTTCTTAATTGTCATTTTGTATAGCATACCCCAAACCCTAGTGAGATCGGATCATATATGTTAAGGCCCTCATATTAACCTCATGCTTCAGGTTGCTTTGCCCTGGCTCCCCTTCTTTTCCAACTGCGAGGGGCAACTGGTCCGAGATGACACGTTTCAGAAAGCAGGGCTCCAGAATATTAAAAATGGGCAATCCAGGTTTAGCCCTTTCGTCGCTGCTTCACAGTGCAATGCAAGCAATCACTAAGTGAACCCTAAACCCAGGACGGTAAACCCATTGGGGCTCGCATTCTGAGGGTGCAGAGCATGCGACTCCATGCGGGGTCATAACCGAATCGCATCCAGAGCATCAGTAGATTCCCAAATGGTCCTATGTACTGTTATGGTGGAGATACTTCCCTAAATCATCGTAATTGTCGTGCCGAGAATAAACCTTACATGCCCTGTGGGGAACCCTACGCCCTATATCCTTAAAAAAGCCCTGAAAGGTACATAGGAGTTTCAGGGATTTTTCAGTTTTGGTGGGTCAAAGAACAGCTCAAAAAAGCGAAGGAATGTAGGCTCCAGGATGCATTGCCCAAGTCATGATATTTGTTTTGCAGCCGTGGCTTTTGGGGGTTTAGGGGTCAAGGTTTCTTGTTCAAGGTATCGCACCAACAGGACGGTACGGCCCTGAGGCCACAGCCCGATGCGAAGCCCATGGCACTGACAAGTCTTCCCGACCTTGGGCGCAGATATCGCAGCAGATAGGTTAACATGTGCCTAATACCTGATAAGTTGGAACGACTTCCTGTTCCGTGTTCGAGTCTTTATTCGTACTCTATGAAAATACATCTGACTAGGGTGTCCTTTTCGGGGGATCTTGGCGTGAGATCCGGAACATCGAATGAGAAACTACTGGCAGCCTGTATAACCGTAGCCACAGCACGCAGCGCCCGTGTCAAAACTTGCAAAGCAAAACAAGCTGAACACCCAAGCCCGGAAAAGAGCATCCCCCAACGATCGCGTGCACACCAATCAATACAAGCTTCAAAACCTGCCGACACCTGCAACCTAAGACCATAAATCTATCTATCTGCCTATCAATCAACCTACCTATCTATCTATCTCTCTGTTTATCTATCCATGTATCTATCTACTGTATCTATCGATCCTATCAGACAACTCGGAAGCTCCTAATGCCAAGTAAAGGTTCGACTCCTACATCACTCTGTGGGATCTCTTCGAGTCACCCGGGGACCAGGTTCGTGACGGCTGTGCTCTGGCCGGGGCATTTGGGGCCTTAGGGCTTGCAAAGTTTAGGGCCTTAGGGGTTTGTCATAGTTTGTGGGTTTAGGGCGTCAGGGGTTTGTAGGGTTTAGGGCGTTAGGGTTTGTAATGGTTTGTAGGGTTTTGGGCCTTAGGGCTTGTCGGGTTTAGGGCCTTTGGGTTTGTAGGGTTTAGGGCCTTAGGGTGTTGGGGCTTGTAGGGTTTAGGGTTGGCCTTTTGAGGGCCTTCGGGTTTAGGATTTAGGGCCTTGGGGCCCACGCCCCTTAGGGCTGCAGGGTTTAAGGGATTGGGGGGTTGAGGGCTTGCCCTAAGACTCGGAACAGCCTAAAGCAGGTACAATTTAAAATAGACTTTAGACCCCAAAGTAGATATTGTATACTTGGAGTCGTAGGGCTAGCTAGGGTCCAGCCCATCAGGGGTATAGGTTGGGGGTTCTGGAGAACAAGTACGCAAGCCGGCGTTCAGGGCTCAGGATCTAGATGATAGCTGTTCCGATTGCAAGACAACAGCAATGCAGGCTAAGGGTGATCCCTTTAGATCGTAAAAATGTATACTAAACCCTATAACCCTAAACCCTAAACCCCAAGTCTAGGGAGCTCATACCGGGCTCTGTTTTGGGGGCAGTTGCCTCAATGAGGACCCTCTGTCAGATCTTATCACCAAGGCCGGGGCTTCTGAAGGCGGATCCTACAGAGGTTTAGGGTTTGGGGTTTGGGGTTTAGGGTTTGGGGTTTAGGGTTTAGGCTTTGCGGTTTAGGGTTTGGGGCTTGGGGTTTAGAGTTTAGGGTTTTGGGGTTATCTGCTCTTGTCGTAAATGTCTTAAACCTGTGGCCTACGCCTAAGCGTGCTTTGCATGGTCGTCATGGATGCTAAAAGACCCAAGCCCGCAAGACACTAAGTGTTTCCGACCCAACCAAGGCGACCTCTACACGGCTGCAGAGGTGGAGATTGTGCAGCCCCTTATCATCAACTTCGCCCTTTCGACAGCATTTGAGGGCGTTTTGGATTTTAGGGTTTAGGCCTCAGCCCCAAAAAACCTACTTCCTCAAGGGCTTGTGGTGTGTAATGTTCACTTCATGTTCAGCAACTACCGGTCTCCGAATTAAAATTTGCCATCGTGGGCGGCATTCTAACGGGAGGTACAAGGAAGCCACAAGCAAGATGTTTTAACATGTACATGTACGTTTTATGGGAGGGCTTTCTGTTTGAGGTTTTGGAGTTGGGGAGGGGCCGACAGGAGGAAAGAGACGATATGACCTGAACAGACCGAGGTTACGGGGCTTTCTAGACCTGAATCGGAGATACTGCCGACTTCGCAAGTTGGAAGATTCGCAGAAAGTCATGCAAGTTGGTCCTTTGGGGGACGCAGCTTTGCCGTAATTCGAGAACTTGTACTCCCTTAAGCTTCCTGCTGTAACACAGCCGGGATGCTGAACTCATTGTAATTACTTTAAGTCTAAGCCCTGAGCCCTAAACCTAAACCCTATATCTGACGCTCCCGAAGTTCATGAACAGTGAGGAGGGCCATCGACTCCGTCAACTTATGCAGCCCCAAAGACTGCAACAGCACTTAACGAGGGTTTTCTGCAAGTCACGGGACATCAAAACCCATAATCCGTACATGCTCCCAAAGGTTAACTTTTCCTTCCCCAGTATACTGGACAAGTAGGAACAGACCCTACCGAACCATGGAAACCCACAAGAACCCCCCGAAAGCCGCACATCCAGCCAACTGAGGACACCTTGCAGGAATCCTGGGGTCGCTTGGCAGACGGTGGAAGGGTTTAGGGCTTTGGGGGTTTGGGGTTTGGGGTTTAGGGGTTTAGTGCGAGTTCTGCGAGAGGCACTTCAGAGAGACCTCGTTCAAAAAGGGGTTCAGGGCTTTGGAGGCTGAGCTGCTCTGATTTGCATGTTTCGTGTTGTGTTTTTTCTTGGTAATGTTTTCCGACTCAGGGAACAGCAAAAAGTACTTGGACTTCGTTCTTAGCAAGGGTATTATCGTTGCCAAGGGGGGTGGAGGATCACATGATATCAAGCACGAGTCGTGCTAGATGTCCAGGAGGACCCCAGTAGTAGACAAGACGAGTTTCCCAATCGAATTCCATGCCTCACCATCCACATGCACCACAAGCATATCAAGACGGAGATTCACCGCCAGCATCAATTGTGCATTTTTCCAATTTCTCACCCTTCCCATGAAACTAGTCAACCATCTGCCACAGATGGTGCGCGTGTGCTGCTTTCCGGTGGTCAGGGCCAAGTAATTAGCTGAGAGACTTGAGTTTAACTGTTCGAGAACTGTAATGACAGTGGGTATCCGACACGAAGACCGCAAGCCTTTGGTGCATCAGCTATTGCTATTGCTGAAAAGCCGAGCCTCCTTAGTATCTGATGTTTTGCTTCGTAGCCTGTTTACAGGAGAGAACATTGTCAGGGCTTTGGTTAGTTTATATACGTAGTACTCCCAAGTTCCACTGAGTGTATTTTGGGGGTGTCGTCAGAGGAATATTAGTACCCAAGACTCTGTTTGACCCTAAGCGCGAAACCCTAAACCCTAAACCCCTGCCCTAAACCCTAGAAGCCTACTTGTCCAAACAAAGCACACTCTGAGCTCCCGTGGCGGACAACTGCAACTTCATCACGAAGTGCAACTTTGAAGAGCGACTGCCGGAAGGACCTTACGCTTGGATGTTGTTTCTGGAGGGCCAGATCTAAGGGTTCTGGAGTATAGGTCTTCGTTTGAACTCCTACTGATGGTTCCGCCGGTTGCCTTTCTAGAGTGGCGCCGGATGTAGCGTTCGTCGTTAAAACATAGGGTTCGGGCCACATTGCAACAAGCAACCGTCAGGAAGACGATTCTGTTTGATTATAAACATCTGTAAATTGACCCTGGTTCTGGACCTAAACCCAAACCCGAAACAGCTCTCAAGCGAAAAAGCCGTTAGCGGGGTTCGCATGAAAGTGCATCCTCTTCGCTTTTGACGAATTGCAAACAGGCTTAAACCAGGGGGTTGACTACTTCCCCCTAAACCCTACACCCTAAACCGCTTCCCCCTATTCTTCCCTTGGGGTTCCTTTGTCCAAATTGTCTGAGTCTAAGAGAGTCTACACCAGCACAAGTTTTTTTCACTTATTAGAAGACCCTAAACCCTAAACCCGAGACCCTCCATTGCATGACGGCCTGGTTTTTCGGGCGAGTCATCCCGGGGCTTCCTCACCATCTCATGGGACTCAGAGGTTTTGCAACTCAGGGTTTAGGGTTTAGTCTTTCTAACGGTCCCAAATACCCAAACAGCAGAGCTGGCATGGTCTACTCATCATCGTTAGCACCTACGTGCTGAGTTCTGTTATCTGCCAGGTAGACTGCCAACTAACTTCTGGGAGTTTTCCGAAAATCAGGGGTACCTTGTTTTGAGGTCCTTATAATACGGATCATATTATTACTATATTAGAGTCCCCTCTTTTCGAACACCCCCATCTCTTGTCTGCCCCATGGGTTCACTGTTCAGGGGCTTAGGGCTTATTCATCAACAGGGAATCTAAGATCCTTGTAGGGTTCTGGAGGCTTCGCGTCCTGAACTGTGGACGGCCTGTGGCGTCGTCAATCCTAAACCGTCTTCTGCTGAGTTTTTTTGCTGCAACAAATCCGAAACGAGTCTCGCCAAAGTCACACGCAGGGGAGGGGAACAACGAGACACAAACGGAATACATTGATCACTGTGTGAGGTGCTTTATCTGTATCCATTCACAGGTATTTTCTCAAGCTGAGCCGCAGAAACCCCAACATGGCGATGGTTTAAATCCCTTGCTGGACACGGATCCGATTGATGTCGAGGACACCCCGCCACTCTCTGGTGGGCGCTAGACGAGGTGTGCAGGGCTTGCTTGGAGTAGGGGCCCGGTACCAATGTAAGCGGTAGAACTCGAGAAAACACTGCGAGAGCCCCAATCAGACGGAGAGTCTAGCTTTGGTTTCTTGTGCTTTTAGTCAACTTAAACCTAACCGAATGTTGGGGGTTTAGGGGTCTGAGGGGTTTGGGTTGAGGGAGGTATAGCCAGTTGTCATCCACAGCTTTTCCTGCGCGCTCTTGCCTTCAGACGGGGTAAGGGTTGCACGGAAGCTGGCCGGTTCCTCAGTCCGAGCTGAGAAGGGGGTAGTTTTAAGTGGGGTTATAAGTCCCCTAATATGGGTTATAAGTATAGTTACCCTACTTATAACCCCACTTATAGCGTTCTATGACTCTGACTAGATGGAAGCTACACTCTACACGCGGACTTTGCAAAACTTTTCCAGAGCACTACTTTGGCATTTCTTCCACAGTCTTAGGGTTCTCGGGGTCGGGCGTCGGAAGGCTTAGTGGTTTAGGGTTTTATGGGTTCAGAGTTGGGTGCCCAGGTGGCAGGGATGGGTTCACAGGGCGCTTTGGGTGTCAGGAGCCACTTCATGTCTCTAGCTGTTTCAAAGTGGCTCTTGAAGACCATGGGGTCAAGAAGTTCATCACGAAAGATATGTCAGCGTGGCTTTCGGAGAGTTTCAAAAAATCCCCTAACCCCCCAGGTACCTACTATATAGGGTACTAGAGCCCCTAGGGCCCTATATAGTAGGTACCTGAGGGGTTAGGGATCAACATTGCATTCCTCCGGTGTGCCACGGAGCCAGACATGCACCACAGCATGGCGTAGTCAGCCCATCAGCTCCGGGTCCAGCTTCAGGGTTTTAGGGTTTCGGGTTTCGGGGTTTAGGGTTTTGGGTTTAGGGGTTTGGGTTTAGGGTTGAGGGCACCATACATGATATTGGGGTTTGCGGTCTGGTTAGGTGGTTTTGGCCACAAAGCCCTAGGCTTTGTTGGCCTTTTTCAGCTCATCTTCGGCACATAATCCCAAACCGCCCGAACCCCCCAGGTACCTACTATATAGGGCCCTAGGGGCTCTAGGACCCCATATACTAGGTACCTGGGCGGTTAGGGAATCTTTGGCTTCCCATCTTCAGGAAGTGGACCTCTTCTACATCACCACATTCCCGATCCTTTTCGAAGTGCCTTGGTGCACATCATGCGGATGCCTGATCGGCCGGCTCTCAGGTATGGGATCCCTTCTGGGAGGTTCATGGGTAGCTATAAGTGCTTAGTAGCTGAGTGAGTACACTTTACACTTTTTGGGATTATATGATCCCTTATAGAACTGAAAGTGTACACTGTTTGGGGCTTATGAACTCAGCAACTAAGAGTGGGGTTCTAAGTAGGGTAACTATAGTTATAAC